AGTCTATTTTATCCAGTAATCTATCTGACCTTCTCACCACCTGGATCTCTGTTCCTAATTCAACAAATCATATACTTTGTCTCATTACAATGATTATAATCCCTTCCATGTACCATCGGTTAACAGTATTTATCTCTTTTCATTTTAGTTTTTTCTTTTTAAACACTGAGGCATATATCATAATTTAGACCACCAAAGGGCACATTCTGCAAGTCTGTCTCCTGGCTGCTACCTCTCAGTCCCTCTCTTTTCATGAATCTAGAGTCCTCAACTGCTCCTTCTCTCCATGTCCCCATCTCTGCTTCCATCTGTGGTGTTGCTGCTTCTCTGGATAAGGTCCCACATTCCATTTTTGCTCTTCTGCCTTGATGGTCCTAGGGTCCTCTGTTTTTGGACTGTAAGATTAACTACTCCCTCATTTTTGTTACAAAACTTCTAACTTTACAATTGTGACAGTCACAATTAATCATGATAACAATTACTCACTATTGAATCATAAGACTCTTAATCCCCATCTCTTTTTCCCAGACCCATCTAGAAAAGATGAAAACTATTCAGTGGGAACTCTATCTTCTACTACATACTCTTAAACTAAACTCCCTCTTGAAAACTTGTAAGCCAGTTACTTCATGCCTTTATCTCCCCCTCATTTTAGGTTGTTGTTGTTGTTGTTGTTGTTAAGTGCCATTGAGTTGATTCCGACCCATAGCAACCCTGTATAGGGTTTCCAAGGAGCAGCTGGTGAGATTGAATCACTGACCTTGCAGTTCAAATGACTTTGCATTCTGATGCATTAGTCCACAGTGCCACACTAGGACTCCTCATTTTAGGTAGCCAATGTCTAAGTTGCCCATCCCTATCTACCTTGTATACAGGGGATAGCACTGATGCTTGATGTGAAGACTCCTCCCTCTCTTTTGGTATTTTGAGCTACTACCTCCATGAGCACAGGTCAATTTCATCAAATTGTAGCAATTTACCCTCATTTACTTTATCAAAAATTGTTTTTTGTTTTTTGCTTTCTTCTGTCTTCCTCTAGTTGAGTTCTGATTTTCAAGCCATCGAGGCTAGGTCAAATGGGTACTATCTGCAAGTTTTGGTTTTCTTGTTCTATTTCATTTTTGACAACTTCCAAGTTTACTAGATTCATACATTGTACATTCCATATTTCAATTATTAATGGATGTTTGCAGCTGTTTTTTTTCTATTTGAGTTGTGACACATCAGCAAATGAAAGTCCCAAAAACTTTACTCCATTCAAGTCTTCATAATCAACTCTAATGGTCCCCAGTTGTATTTTGAGTACCTTCCAACCTGAAAGTTTCATCTTCCAGCACTATATCTGACAATATTCTGGTGTCACTCATATTGTTTTCATCTTTTGGCATGATAGCCGACAATGATCTTTTGCTATTTATAAGGTTTTAAGTGGGTGAATGTTCAGAAGTATTTCACCTCTCCTCCTTTCTCTTCTTAGTCTGAAAGCACAGCTGAACCCTGTCCACCATGAGTGACTCTGCTGGCATTTAAAATACCTGTGGCATCATTTCTAGCATGGCACATGCAAGCCACCACAAAATGACAGATGAATGGTGGTTGAGTAATGATAGCTTTGTTGTTGTTAAGTGCCGTCAACTTCGTTCTGACTCAGCAACCCTGCATAGGGTTGCCAAGGAGCAGCTGGTGGGTTTGAACTGTCAATTTTATGATAGGCAATGAAATACAATGTACACACCACAGAATTCATTCTTTTAAAGTGTATAGTTCCATGTGTTTTTAAGTATATTCTTAGAGTTGTACATTTGGCATCATGTTCTTATTTCAGAGTATTTTCAGAAAGAAAAACTATGCACCGGTTAGCAGTCACAACCCATACTCCACTCTCCCCAATTTCTGGAAAACAATAACATACTTCTATCTTGATGGATTTGCTTATTCTGGAAATTTCCTGTAAATTGCATCCTAGAGTGTGTGAGTTTTCCTTCACTTGACTTCATTCTCTGACTTATGGATATATCAAGGATCATCCATACTGTAGCATATATCAATACAACATTCCTTTCTATTGACAAACAGTATGCCATTGTATGCATAATTTATTTATGTATTCATCAGCTGGGTTGCTTCTACTTTTTGGTTATTATGCATAGTACTGATATAATCGTGTGTAAATATTTTTGTTACTTTCATGCCCTGGTATGGTGCTGTAGGATAAGTTCTGAACTGCTAACTGCAAGGTCGACAGTTCAAACCTACCAGCGCTGCTTGGAAACTCAGTACAGGGTCACTGTGAGTCAGAAACGACTCAACTGGTACTTAACAACAGCAACATATACCTAGAAGTGGAATTACCAGGTCAAATGGTGTCTCTGTGTTTAACATTTTGAGAAACTGCCACACTGTTTTCCAAATCTGCTGCACTGTTTTATAATCCCATCAGCAATGTATAATAGTTGCAATTTTTTCACCCTTACCAGTGCTTACTATTGTCTGTCTTTTTGATTATGGACATCCTAATGATTGTGGGATCATGGTTGCTTTGTATGATTAACAGTGGACTTCAAACTACAAGGTTGGTAGTTTGACCCCACACGTCACTTCACAAGGCAAAGATAAGGATCTCTACTCTAGCATAGTTGTGCAGCCTCAGAAACCTTGCAAGGAGTCAGAACTGACTCAGTGGCACTTAACAACAACAGCATTGACCGTGTAGTGATATCTCATTCTTGGTTCCTATAGCAGTGCTGTGGATTTCTGGTTTGGTGCTGTAGATTAAACATTGGACTGCAGCATTGGCTATTTAAACTCACCAGGGTCTCCTCAGAAACTCTATATAGGACTGCTGTGAGTTGGAACTGACTTGACGGCACTTAGAACAGTAATAGTGGTGCTGTGTGGGCTAGGCATTGTGCTGCCTAGCTGTAAAGATTTACAGTTTTAGAAACCCTATACAAGGTTGCTATGTGTCAGAGTTGACTTGATGCCAGTGGGTTTAGGTTTCGGTTTTTGTTTTTGTTTTTGTTTTTTTTGGTATATCTGGAAAAATTTACCCTTTCCCTGTCTTCACCTATTAAGAACCTAATTTTCAAATAATATTCCCCCCAGCCAGAAATGATTCTTTCTTTAAATTCTTTAAAACACTACATAGATCTCTAGTATGGAGTCCTGGTGTGGTGTTGTAGGATAAGCACTGGACTGTTAACTCTAAGATTGGAAGTTGAAACTCACCAGCTGCTTGCTCCTTGGAAACTTTATCTGAACTGACTCAATAGCACTTAACAACAGTTTAGGCATGTTTGACTATCTGTTTTATCATTGTACTTAAAAAATTATTGATGACAGGTATAGTGGTAATCTTTAAATCCCTGGCCTCTAAGTCCCTGAGGAGGTATGATGAGGCAAGATTAGTAGGCAGGTTATGATATATAAACAAAGGTGATATAAGAGTAACCAAAAAGTATTGCTACTAGGGTTCTAGTTCATACATGTGTAGGTTTATTCCAAACAAAATGCATTTAAACATGTTTGTGTGATCAGTGGATGGCAGCAGACAAGTTTTCTAAGTAATATAATTGTCTTAGTCTCTGTAGCATGCCTCCAACAACAACTAAAAATCCAATCAAAACTGTTTCTAAGAGGATCTCCTTGGCCAGCTAAATTCAAGGCAGAGAGGTCAGCTCAGAAGGTTATGATAACTGCTTTTGGAGATCCCAATTTTCTGAGCTAAATCCTTGGCACTTGGCACTTAGTGTTTGGTCCTACTGAAAACTTTTTGCTTTGCTACTCTGCCATCTTACCTAGGAAGAAGTTTTAAGAACATTGAAAACTACATTGATGAGGAAAAGATCAAGAAAATTGCATTGATGGTTTTGTTTCTATCACAGCAATGCACCTGTTTGTTTTTTGAGGGTTGCCCTACAATAATTTTATTGGAAAACCTTACCCAATATACCCTACAGATTTTGTGTCTTTAAACTTGTTCCCCAAATTCAAAGATCATTGAAAAGGTGTACTATTTGAGTCCCTTGAGGATGCCCAGACTGCTGTTTTGATGTAGTATAGATCAAAGATTTCAGAATTCTTGAAACTGTATAGACCTAGATGGGGAGAAGGGTATGTCAAGAATCAATAGCTTCAGAATTTGATATTTTTGTCTAATAAATGTATGTATGATTTTTTATAGCAGTGTTTTTTTCCCCAAAGGAAATTTTATTATTTACTCATAGCAGTTACGTATACACATGGACACACATAGAAACTAATTTATATTACAACATTAGCATATACCTTCCATGCAAGATTTTCATCCAAGAGATGAAGGATATCTCAGAAAATGTTAAAGAATTAATTTTTCCCCCAAAATAAATGGCAAACAAACCCCACAATTTTCTTTGATGTTTCCTATAAGAAAAGATATTTTTTTCATTATCCTGATAAACTGAAGGAGAAAACTCCAATCTGTTATTGCATACATTTTGTTTTCCAAAATGGTTCTTTGCACACTGCATCATATTACAATAGTATCTTTGGGATCCTTAAATTGATGAAATTTGTTTGTAGTCAAGTTACAATTTAGTTTTGAGTGAATACATTAGTGCAGTGGTTTTAAAGTGCAGTTTGAGGAATCCGTGGGGGTCCCTGAGAATCTTTTTTAGGTATTCTGCAAGGCTGAAGGTATTTTTGCTACAATACAAATATATTATAGCAGTACTTTTTGACTTGTCTCATATATCTGGATTCTGATTCATTAGCTCTCAGAAGCAATTTATGTTTGAAAAGATCTTAGAATCAAGTTGAATATTCTTTTAAGGTAAAAACCTTGTTCTCCCCTAAATAAATTAGATCAAAAGTGGAATTAATTCTCTTTTCTACTTTTTAAAAACTCTTTATTGTGTGAGCAGTAGTCATTTGCTAACCTTGAGCAGAAATTGAAAAGTATATTTTGTAATGAGGTGAGTTTTGTGAAATGTGGTTTGCTTACCAAATTTTTCTGTTTTCAGAGGAAGAAAAAGTGGCTTTTGTGAACTGGGTAAACAAAGCTCTGGAGGATGACCCTGACTGTAAGCATCTCATACCCATGAACCCTAATGATGGCAGTCTTTTCAGATCGCTTGCAGATGGCATATTACTTTGGTGAGTTGAACATTAGATTAAGTTGGCATACTGTGGTTGCTTCATGATGAGCATTCCATGAAAGCTACCATTTAGCAAATACACTATGTTTTTGGAATTAGTTAACAAATAGGTACTTAGGTTTTGAAAAACATGTATCACATAGAAAATTTAAAACTTACTGTATGTTTCCTAAAGTTTTTCTTCAAATGCTTTCCTTTATTTTTGGTGTCTTTTTCATCTATTTACACAGTTGTTGTTAAGTGCCGTTGAGTCAGTTCTGACCCATAGCGACCCTGTATAGGGTTTCAAGGAGCAGCTGGTGAGCTTGAACTTCTGACCTTGTAGTTCAAACCAATTTTGCATGCCTGGAAACTCTGGATTTATAAATCAAATTAATTAAAAAATGTTCACAGGTTTTCTTTTTACACTTTCCTGTGAGGGATTGTTGATTACTGACTGGGACAGGAATATGAAGTATAAAAGAAAAATGGACTTAATTTGTGCTTAAATGAAAATGTTTTAATTTACCTTATAAGAAGGGAGTTCAAAAATGGTCATGGGGAAAGGAAATGAAAAGATAAAAATAGAAAATATAGACTTCATTTCTTAAAACAAACTCCATCTAGGTCGAGACCCTTTTGTAAGCGATATCAGTCATTTAGTCCATCCCTAAAAAAACAGGTACTGGGCACTTAGCCATGTCAATGCAGTCTTTATTGCATTATTAACTGAAGGAATTTTTGTGTGTGTGTATGATATATTATTTAATAAATTTCAGAATTACACAGAGTTAGGCAGAAAGAGTTAGCAATAGATTTAAAGATTTGATCGTTTTCTCTATAACTTTTCTTCAAACCCCAAGCCATAGGAGGGTCAATTCAAGATGGCAGACTAGGATTGTATCTAGGTCCTCTACAATAAAAACCTGACAAACCGAGTAAACTAGATATGGATGACACTCTCAGAACCATGAGCTTGAAAGGAAAGTATAAAGAAATAGATCAAACACTGATCAGAAGAGACTTAATGAAAACACCAAACAAGGAGATAAGGAGAATGATGAATTGCCAACACAGCATGGTCATTTTGAATTATTGCAAGCAGCATTCTGATTGGGGTGGGAACCAGATAACAGCTGCACTCATCCAGGACTGCACTAGCACTGGTGCACTACACAATCACACTGGTGATTGATGACCAGAGACGTGTGATCACTCACTCCCTTTACCCTAGACAGCCTTCCAGTGACCAGCGGCATGGTGCTCCACCCCCACCAACACAGTAACCAGTCAAACCCCTCTCCCCTGGCCAGTGCTGTGCCTCATTCCCTCCCATTTGTCTAAGTTCTTCCCCTCATTTTTTTTTTTTTTTTTTTTTACATTTTTATTGAGAATTGAGTGATAGTTTGCATGGAGGAACATCAGTTTTATATTCATCCTACCATATTAATTTCATTGCAATGATTACAATCCCCTGCATGCTTCATCATTCAACAGTATTTGCTTCTATTCCCTTGTTTTATTTTGGGCTTTTTGGATATGCACCAAAACACTTAGGAATATACAATCATTCAAACAGCCAAAGGGGAGCACACCCTGAAAGCCTGCCCCCCAAGCCACCAGCACACATCTCCTCTCCCTCCATGAGTCTAGAGTCCTCAGCTGCTCCTTCTCTCCATCCCATCATCTCTGCCTCCATCTCTGGCATTGCCGTGTCTCTGGCTAGGGTCACAAACTCTGTTCCTGCTCTTCTCCCTTGATGGTCCCAGGGTCCTCTGCTCCGGGACTATAAGATCAACCACTCACCCCTTTTTGATACAAAACTCTACCTTTACAGATGCAACAATCGAAATTAGTCATGATAACAGTTATTCACTATTGAATCATGAAAGTCTTGTCCCCATCTCCTTTCACAAGACCTGTCTAGACAGGATGAAAACCACTGAATCTAAACTCCCTCTTGAAAACTTGTAAGCCAGTCACTTTGTGCCTTTACAGGCCACACACACACACACATTTTAGGTAGCCAATGTCTTAAGTTTCCCATCCCTGTCACTCCTGTGTACAAAGGGGATGGAAATGATCCTTGCTGTAAAGATTCTTTCCCTCTTGGTTGGTATTTTAAGCTATGACAAACATAAGTATAGGTCAGGTTCTGTAGCGATTTATACTTGTTTTCTTTTAAAAAAAATTTTTTCCCCTTCTTTTCCTTCCCATAGTTGGGTTCTGAACATCTAGACATTGCAGCTAGATCCTGTGGGCACTGTTTGCTAGTTTGGGTGCCCTTGTGCATATCCCCTCACTTCATATCAGCTGGATGCTTCACTCTCAGCTCTAGCCCTCTGTGGCTATGTCCTTGTCCATGGGCTCAGATGTCCCCAGGTCTCATTGTACTTTGGTCCAAACAGCTCTCACCACACTCCAGGTTGTTGGAGGTCTGTGTAACTTGGTCAGACTCAGCCCACCTCTTCATTGCTGTTTTTCCCCCACTTCCTTTCACCAGTAGTAGACCAACGTGGTTGCCAGCAAGCTTACATGCCTGCTTGTGTAAGAAATTGTTTTTTAAGATTAGAGAACAGAAGTCAGAAGGAGTCAAATCAGGACTGTAGGGTAGATGCCTTATGATTTCCCATGGAAACTCTTGCAGAATTGTCCTTGTTTGATGAGAAGAATGAAAACGATCATTGCCATAGGGAAGGAAGATTCGAAGACGAAAATTTTCCAGATACTTTTTCTGTGAAAGCTTTGGCTAACTTTCTGTAAACACTCTTTCAATAAGCAAATATTATCGTTCTTTGGTCTTTCAGAAAGTCAGTAAGCAAAATGTCTTGAGTAAGTATCCCTGAAACTGTTGCCATGGCTTCTGCTCTTGACATGTCTGCTTTTGCTGGACCACTTCAACATCCTCTTTTCCTGTCTTAAAGTGAGTTATCCATTTGTAAACTGCAGATTTTCATTGGTAACTATGGTCCCCATAAACGTTTGGTAACACATCAGTTATTTTGCCATTCTTTTACCCAAGCTTTACTATAAATTTGATATTTGTCTTGCTTCAGTTTTAGCAGAATTCCTGTTGCTTTGTGATAGGGTCTCTGAGCTCTGGTAGCATAGTGGTTACGAATCGGGCTGCGAACCTTAAGGTCAGCAGTTCGAAACTACCGGCTGTTCCATGGGAGAAAGATGAGGTTTTCTGCTCCCGTAAAGATTTACAGCCTCAGAAACCCTATACAGGGTTGCTGTGAGTCGGAACTGACTCCATGGCACTTAACCGCCACCACCATGGTTTGGAATTGACTCGACAGCACTTAACAACAACATCTTGGTCTTAGTGCCTCCAACTAGATCCTGACATAACAACTAACTATGAGTTTATTTAGAGGCAAAAAGAAACGTTGAAATTGATGCATAGTTTTTTGCCCATAATATTCATTTTCCATGAACTTTTTGAAGACCCCGTTTATTGCTTCTTTGCAATCTGTTTCTACTCCCAAAGAACTCTGTGGCATAGTGGTTAAAGTGCTCTATTGCTAATTAAAAGGTAGGTGGTTCGAATGCTCAGGCTACTCCACAAGAGGGCGATGTGGAGATGTCACAGTCTGTTTCTGTAAAGATATGTAGCCTTGGAAACCCTGTGGTCCTGTAGGGTCCCTGTGAGTCAGACAGGACTTGATGACAGTGGATTTGGCTTTGGCAGTGTTTTCTCCCTAGATAGTAAATTCTTTCATGACACATCTTTGTTTGTATTGTTTGTACTAAATACAGCAAACTTCTGTATATAAAGAAGCTGTGTTTTTATTTTAAGTTTATCAAAATACAGAAAATGTACTAAGAAAAAAATAAACATCACCAATATTTCTGTCACTCATAATTAACGATTACTAGTCATTTGTTTGGATTCACAATTGGCACTCATGGAAGTAACAGTCAAAATGAAATGATGTATTGCACTAGGAAAACCTACTGCACAAGACCTTGTAAAAGTGTTCAAGAGCAAAGATGTCAGTATGAGGACTAAGGTGTGTCTAAATCCAAGCCATAGTATTTTCAGTAGCCTCATGTGGAAGTTGGACAATAAGTAAGGAAGCCCGTAGAATAATTGATGCATTTGAGTTATGGTGTTGGAGAAGGATGTTGAAAGTACCATGAACTGCCAAAAGAACAAACAAATCTGTGTTGGAAGAAGTACAGCCAGAATGTTCCTTAGAAGCAAGGATGGCGAGACTTTTCTCATACTTCGGACATAATATCACGCAGGACCAATCCCTGGAGAAGGACTTCATGCTTGGTAAAGTGGAGGGTCAATAAAAGAAGGTAGCACCTCCAATGAGATGGATTGACACCATGGCAGAAGCAATGGGCTCAATCAAGCATAACAACAATTGTGAGAATGGCACAGGACCAGGCATCTGTTGTGTATGGGGTTACTATGAGTCAGAACCACTCAACAGTACCTAACAAGTATTCTGGCACATTTCCTTCCAGTCGTTTCTCTATTTTTTACTTAAAAAACAAACTAAACAAATAAAAACCCGTCCTGCTGTGGCACTGTGGGATAAAGCATTGGATCACAAGGTCAGTTTGAACCCCAAGGTCAGTGGTTCAAACTCACCAGCCAGTCCTTGGAAACCCTATATAGGGTCGCTATGAGTCAGCACCAACTCCACGGTACTTAACAACAATAACAACCATGTGAATATAGGGTATCAGTTTCAAGACATTAGTTTATGCTGACCTCACCCCCAATTTTAATCTTCTTTGACCTTCAGAGAAAATTGCAATTTTTGAATAGAATGAGTATTTTCCTATCTCTTTTCTAAACAATAAAACATATTATGAAACAAACAACATTTATATTCATTTCATTGAAAATGTCTGAATTATTGAGATACTTGACAGATTGTCAATGGCTTTTTATCTTTTTTCAACAATAGTAATTATAACAAAAGTGTTGATATTATCTTATGAAACCTGGCTTCTCAAGAACTTCTCTGTTCGCATTTCAGGCTACATAATGTTAATGATCACTAAATTAAAGACAAGACTCATATGAAGAAAATGCAAGACTTAAAAAACTAGGAGGAAAATGTACTGACAGACTTATTTTAGGATAAGGAAAATTTCTTGTATTTTTAAACTAAATTTCTGATTTGAATTATGATATAGTATTTTAAAGTAATGGGTTATTGTAACATTTAAAAAAATTAACTATTTTGGCTGCTTGCAAAAATAAACTGAAAGTATTTTGGGGAACCTTAAACTAAATTGTCACCATTTTTTTCTTTAGCAAAATGATCAACTTGTCTGAACCTGATACAATTGATGAAAGAGCCATTAATAAGAAAAAACTCACCCCTTTCACTATTTCTGTAAGTATTTGTCCTTTGCTGGTTATCATATGACTATACTGTGACATGTAAGCTTGATATAAGCTCAGATGGAGCCTTTGACTACATAATTTTGTTTTCCTATAAAAACTGGATTTTTGTTCAGTGCACATTAAGTTGCATTTTGTAATGAATGAAATAGAATTTCAAGTTCTTTGGATGTTGCTTAATAGTATTCATGTTGTATTGCTGTAATTATTGAGTGATTTGATTCATGATTAGTTGCTTGATGCCAATGTTCCTATTGATTGGCTGGAAAAAGAACACTGATTACACAGTGTACCACAGATTTAACCATTTCCCCACATTTTAAACTCTTCTTTTTGCACTAAGTATTTCTGTAGTTAGCTTTTCCATTTAAGCCTTTTAAAGTCCAGAAGTTTATAGTTAGGATTTCCTTCCTCAAGATTACTAGATTGAATGGATATTAATATTTACTGAACATTGACTAGGTACTGGTCTTCTAAGCACACTAGGAGAATTAACCCCTAACTCCTTTATCAATTTATAAGGTAAAATAATGATTTTACAGATGAGGAAACTACGGCACGGAGATGTTACACTGTGGCAAGCTAAGGTTTGATCCTAAGTGGTCTAACTCCAGCGTTGCCTTCTTAATCACTATGCCATATGCCTCTCTCAAGTGGTGGTAGTAATAGCAAGTATTTAATGTGCTCATTCTAACAGCAGCTATTAAAATAGATTCCTTCATTTCCATTGGCAAGTTCTGTCTTTGATTCTGGCAGTATCATCAAATGTCTTCAGGAAAAGTGGGCCATAAGACAGTGGTACATAGTTTGGAGGACTTTTCAAGGAATTCTCCCATTTCCTGTCTTCCTTGGAAAGTATAGACTTGGAAAGTATGGCCCTTTTGCTCCCTACTTGACAATAGGTCTATAATGTTGCATATACTTAGCAGAGTCCACCATTATTGAAAAAGCCTTTCTAACTGCAGTGGTCAGAAAACGATTTCCTTTCACATTGTGCCAGGATGCTTTTTCTAATATTCATGATTATGGAAAATATTCATATTCATATAATTTTAGACTACATGTATGTGTCATGCAATATTTTTAGACCCTGATGCTGGAATACTGAAGTCTTTTACTATTGTATAAATATAATTTTGGTTTCACTTTTAATGCAGGACATTAAAGAAAAAAGAGGAAAAAAATACTATATGTAATAATTTTTCAGAAAGTAGCTCCAGAATGGGTTTGAAAGGCTAAGCATTATGCAACTTTATTTTGAGATTAGCATTCTTCAATACTAATAGGGGTAGTGTTGTAGGTGTCTAGAATGCTTGAAAGAGAATGCCATTGTGGGCCGTGGAAAGACTGAGATGTCCAGAAAGTGACAATGTGTTACTGTGGATATTAATCTGTCTTGTTTGTGTAGTAACTTTAGAGCTATGGGAATAGGCCTGCTAGAAAACTACCAGTTTTGAATGAAACTCGATCTCAAAAAAGCCTCATTCATTTTTAAAAGAATGTGATGAGACCGTTTTTCATCCTAAAATGACAAGATTAATAATATCATGACATATGAAAGAAAAGAAAGATAAAAGGATGAAAATGAAATACAGTCATGATGAAAGCAAGGGAAATGGACAGGTCAGGTAGATAAAGGCAGAACTCAAGATATTGAAGGTTTTCTCATCTGTCTTCTGCCTAATGTACTATTGAGCTGTATTTCTTTGCATGTTTATGATTATTGAAAAAAAAAATAGTTATATGAATAAGATTCTCAAAAGCATGGTAGTGATTTGTTGTTGTTAGGTGCCATCAAGTGAGTTCCAATTTATAATGACCCTCTGCACAAGATGAAACACTGCCTGGGCATGCGCCTCACAATTGTCATGTTTGAGTCCACTGTTGGAGCTATTGTGTTAGTTCATCTTGATAGGAGGTTTCCTCAATTTCTCTGACTCTTTACATTTCCAAACATGATACCTTCTTCCAGGACAGTGGTGTGTCCTGATAAAATGTCCAAAGTATGTGAGACGAAGTCTGGCTGTACTTCTTCCAGACAGATTTGTTTGTTCTTCTGGCAATACACAGTACTTTCAGTAATTTTCACCAACACCATCATTCAAATACACTGATTCTTCTATTGTCATCCGTATTCATTGTCCAGCTTTCACATGCATAGTTTATTGTTAGGTGCCGTCCATTTGGTTCTAACTCAAAGTGACCATATGCACTACAGAATGAAACACTGTCTTGTCCTTCACCAGTCTCAAAATTGTTGTTATACTTGAGTCTATTGCTGCTCTCACTGTTTTATTGAATCTCATTGAGGGTCCCTCCTCTTTTTCACTGACCCACCACTTTACCAAATATGATGTCCTTCTCCAGAGACTGGTCCCTTCTGATAACGTCCGAAGTACGAGAGACAAAGTCTCGTCATCCTGACTTCTTATGAGCATACTGGCTGTACTTCTTCCTACACAGAACTGTTTATCTTTCTGGCAGTGCATGGTACTTTTAATAATCTTCTCCAACACCATAATTTAAATGCATCAATTCTTCTATGTCTTCCTTATTCAATGGCCAGTTTTCAAATGCAAATCAGACTATTGAATATACCACGGCTTTTGTCACTGCCCCGTAGTCCTCAAACTGGTATCTTGGGTCTTGAACATTTTTTAAGAGGTCTTGTGCATCAGATTTATCTAATGCAATATGTTGTTTGATTTTTTTAATATAATTTTTTTATTGTGAATTGAGTGAAGATTTACAGACAAGATCACCAGTTTCACATTCAACAACTCATACTCTTTGTTTCACCTCAACGATTGCAATCACTTCCATGCAACAACAGCTATGTTGTTTCCACACTGTGTTTCCTATTTTCATTCCACCCAGCTTCCCATCCTTTTCAACTTTGTCCTTAGGCAAATGTTGCCCTTTTGATTTCGAATGATAGACCATTCCATGGTGAGCATACCTTACTAGTGTTGTTGTTCCCCCCTATATACTTAGCAACTGCTTAGCTGAAATTTGGGCTACAAGGGTAAGTTCTTTTCCAGGCCTGAAGAGTAGTTGAGGACTATAGATTCAGGTTCCTCCAGTCTGTTTCTGATCAATAAGCCCTGTCTTTTTAAAAAACAATTTTGAGTTTTGTTTCACATTTTCTGCTGCTTTATCCAGAATTTTCTAATCTGACTACTTTCAAAGCAGTAAATTGCGGTAGCTGGGCACCATCTAGGTCTTCTGGCCTTTGAATCATGGAGACTGATGTTCATATATTTCATTAGTCCATTGGACTAATTGAATCCAAGCTCCTTCAAGTCTCATCACTCTTTCTTCCACACATGGAGAGATCAATGACGGCACCTTAGACAGCTGTTTATGAGCTGTTAAGATTCCAGATGCTACTCACCAAAGTTTGTGGACTATGTTATGCCAGTTGAGCATGGTGTCACCTGGGACTGTGGTCCTGAGTCACAGTCTTAAGATGTTTGATAATATCTAATAACTTTTCATCATTTTACCTACTGTAATCTCCACCACATTCCTTGTTGTATTTGCAGGGGAAAAAAAAAAATACCCAGGGACAAATACCCTCTTTCAAACTCATACATTTGTGGGATGTATATATATGTATACCACTCTTCTCATACCCATTATCCTTTGTCTCTGCTCATGTATCTACCTGCAGAACACTGTTGTTCTGAAATTGTGTATATATAACCATTTACCTTTATCCGTTTTAGGCCTTGCATACCTCCCTGTGTCTTCATCATTATTCTGCCAACCTCCCTTTTGCTGTATATTGCCTGGCACCTGAACTAACATGTATCTATCTACTCTCTAGCCAGTGAATTACTCTTCCCTTCTCTTTCACCCCTGGTAACCATCAAAACAGGTTTCTTTTAGTATGAAAACCCAATCTTGAGGTTTTCAATAGTGGTCTCATACAATATTTGTCACTTTGTGATTAACCAACTTCACTCAGCATAATGTCTACCAGTTTCATCCAAATTATTAGGTTTTTCTTGCAGATTCATTGTTGTTTTTCAGTGTTGCATAGTATTCCATTGTATATATATACCAAAGTTTGCTTATCTATTCTTCCATTGATGGGCATTTATGCTGTCTCCATCTTTTTGCTATTGTGAATAGTGTTTCAATGAACATTGATGTGCATATATGTACTTGTTTCTTGTGGTTCTTATTTCTTGTGGCTATATACCAAGGATTCCTGATGTGGCACTGTGGGTTAATGCGCTGAACTGCAAGGTTGGTTTGAACTGTAAGATCTGCAGTTCAAGCTCACCATCTGTTCCTCAGAAACCCTATACAGGGTCACTATGGGTCATAACTGACTCAATGGCACACAACAACAGCAATATACCAAGTAGTGGGATTGCTGTGTCATAACGGTATTGCTATTTCCAGCTTCCTGAGGTAATGCCATGGCATTTTCCACAGTGGCTGAACCATTTACAGTCCTACCAGCAATGTAGGAGGGTGTCAATCTCTCCACACCCTTGCCAGCATTTGTTGTTTTCTGTTTCTTTTTAAAAGTTTGCTATTAATGCTGGTGTGAAATGATATCTCATAGTTGTTTTGATTTACATCTCTCAAATGGCTTATGTTCATGAACATTTCTTAATCTGTTTGTTGGCTGCTGGGAGGTGTTTGTTGTGAAGTGTCCATTCTTGTCCTATGTCCATTTTAAAGTGTCCATTCATGTCCTATGTCCATGTTTTTGCTTTTGTTTTTTGTCCCCTTGTAGAGGTGGTGTCGTTTTCTATAAATTTTTTAGATCAGTCTCTTGTCTGAGGTGTTGCAAATTTTTGTTTTCCTGGTCTGTGGGCTCCCTTTTTACTCTTTTGGCAAATCTTTTTTTGCACATAAGTGCCTATTTTTAGGATTTCTCAAGCATCTATTTTATCTTCCACTGTTGGTATGTTTTTAGTAATATTTGACAGTGTATTGATGCCATGTATTAGAGCCCCTAAGTTTGTCCCTATT